ATGCTGGTGCTTGTCCCCAGGGGCCAGCGGGGCCAGCAGCTCCGCCACAGAAGAGCCTGTTTCAGGCAAGCTCCAAAGGGAAGATCCGCGGATTTGTTACAAGGGGCTGGAGCGCGACTGGACAGGGCTGTCACTGGGGTGCCAGGCTGCAGCGGGGGCTGCTTGGGTGCCCCGTCACCCAAGTCACATCATTTTCCAGGCGTGAGTCAGTGCTCGGCGCAGCCGGAGGATTCGCTGGGGCTGCAGCAGCCGGCGGAGCCTCTAGGTGGGAGGCTGCAAGCGCGGATGCGGCTCCGGCTGCTCCGCAGGGACCTGCCGGGCAGGGATCCCGTCCCGCAGGAGCAGCCGCTTCGGCTCCGCGCGCCCCGGCTGCGCGAGCAAGAGCTGCTCGCGGCACCGCATCGTCCCGTCCCGAACTCCCACTCCGCAAAGCCGGGAACAGCCAGAAAGTTTGGAGTAAATTGTGAAACCTTGTTCAGTCCTCTAGGTGGGAGACCGAGAAAACAAATGGATTTATTAGAAAACCGGGTAACTTGTCCCAAGGAGCAAAACTGAAAATGCAACCGTTTCTTTCACGTCTTTACTTGCTGTCAGACGTGAATCAGAGCAGTGGGAGGATGTAAAAGGGTTGCCAAAGTCGAGGCTGAGACGGTCTGACAGCGGATCTTTGCTGCGCACTGTTGTGCAAAAGTGGAAAGACTGTGTGGGCAAGGGCCAGCGCGGGGCCGGAGCGAGCGGGGGCACCGCGGCCTGTCCGGGGACACGTGCAGAAGCTCCTCTTGAAGGATTCGCCCCTTTGGGTTTTTAGACTGCAGCAGGCTCCGTAACGGGCAGATCCGAGGTCTCCGACATGCCGCACGCTCCATACCGGAGCGCAGCGCTCCCCGCAGCGCTCGACAGCCACCGGCACGCGAAGCAGCTCGGGGCTGAGCCGTGCGGGCACCGGGAGCAGGGGGTGGCCGTGGGTCCGGGCTCGGCTCTCAGGAGCCCCTTTCCTGATTCCAAATGCTGGGAGCTGCCAGGCGGGAGCTGGTCTCCGTGACTCACGTGGACGACGCTGCTCCCGGTGCAGGGAGCGCAACAAGAGACCGCAGCGCAGCCAGGCCGGGGCCGACGGCACGGGAAGCGCCCGCGGCTCTCGCTGCATTTCCAG